CCCCACAGCCCTGAAGCCAGGCCCTGCTGCTGGCAGGCCCCACAGCCCAGGACCCACCGCGGGCAGGCCCCACAACCCAGGCCCCGCAGCCCAGTCCCTGAAGTCCTGCAGCCCCGCAGCCCAGGTCCCTCAGTGCAGGCCCCACAGTCCCGCAGCCCAGGCCGCACGGCCCCGCAGCGCAGGCCCCGCAAGGCCGCGCAGGTTTCGCAGCCCCCCCGTGCCGGCAGGCGGCGCTCTGTACCCGCAGATGCCGGTGCCCGAGCGGGAGATGCTGCTCCCCCCAGGGGAACGCTGCCCGCCTCTGTGCCGTGCAGCATGGGGAACCGAGCCGCACTGCTGGGTGAGAAAAACCCTGCACCTGGGCTGCTCCAAGTGACATCTCCAAATTCAGCCGGAAAATGAGATTAGAGAAATAAAGTTGGGCTTTTTTCTCCATTTTTTTCCAGGTTGCTGTCTTTGCACGTGTACTAGCAGCCTGTTCCTGTCTTACTGTTTACCCTGCTACGGTGTGTAGGAATTTTAGAGTATCCTTTTATTATATAAGATAATTTGCGAACCTGTTTGTAACGCTCACTCTGTTCTATAGTTCACAAACTACCGTAGCCCTGACAAAGCATTTGTGCCTTGCATGTTAACGATAGTTAATTGGCACTATTAGTTGGAGCCCAGAATGCTGTGTGCCTTTCCACACAGGCAAGGTTGTGTAAAGATTGAAAACTCAGCCCTTGCCAATGTCAATTTGATTCTCTTGTTTGTGTGTAACACTCACGCAGCAATAATGGAGAGGAAACATCTCGAAGGGTAGAAAAATGTGACTGTGGAATATAATATCTGACAAGAAGACTTAAAAATGATGTAGCATCTACAAATTGTTCAGCTCAAAGAAAATCTATATAAGGGGGACAGATGACTGGTTTGTACTGAGTTTATTCTATTTTAATTGAAAAGTTCCACATGTATACAATGTGGTTAGGGCAAATTAATGGGACAGATAACGAGCACTCCATCCTCCTTTTCAAAAGATACAAAATGATTGGGAATCTCATTTTCTACAGGCTGAAGTTTGGATCACTGTGTCTCTTTGATAGCATAGTCATCATTGACTTGCCATGCCATGATCCCTTCTACTCCCTGGGATATTTAAACATTAGCCTGCTGCTTCTCTGGACTCACTCAAGGGAGGTTTCATCTCCAAATCCTGCCTCTCAGCATTTGCACTGCCACGCTGCC